AATTGCTGGTCAGATTGCCCCTTAAAAACGGTTGACCAAGAGTGTGCGCACAAGAAATCTGCGACTAATAAATCTATGCTAAATTTTCACTCGTTTGATTTGCACTTAAGATCCGAAACTCAATACCTCCATACTTTTACCTATTGAAGTACTCGGCTAAATATGATCGGGTAACTATGATGTTCAAATAATGCAGAAATGATCACTCATTTGTCCGCTGGGCGGGATAATTTGATTGCAAAAGCTTCCTCACCGATCGAGGAATAACTTTGGTGCGTTTTTAGAGCGCTTGAGAATGGATCGTTGGTTGTGCACAACCACGTTAAAAGAACCGCTTTCAAAATAATAAAGTTTATACGAAAAGAAGCAATACCCAAAGAACGTGCCGTACAAATTACCAAGAACTAGTGCATCAGCTGTCCCCTTTTTTATTGGTTTTTGTCAAAGCGATAGAAAACTGACTACAAAAAAATTCCTATTCTTTGTACCTGTCCCTATTAGTTAAGAGTGGGGTTGGATTAAACAGCACAAACCTTTTTCCGTATTTCCTGTTGTTACACACACTGATGGCACATTGCTGTCATAGCCGAAAATATAATGCGAAGTAATAAGTTTCTTAGCTGGATAATCATTAGACCTCCTCGTTCTCTTACAGTGGCTACATTATGTTCGATTACGGAATCTTCCAAAGTCGTCGTACTCACAAGGGAAAATATTACTTCATTCCGCCATCGGAATCCACTATTTATGCTCCTTTTTTCAGTAGATTGGTAAGCGTTTGTGTAATATTCATTGATTCAAACTAGTTCAGTGACATGACTAAAGTAAGGATTATTCTAAAATCCACACTGATCGGTAAAAATTCATTTAACTATCTGCTTTCCAAGCACCATGCTTCTTAAGCTTTAAAGCACGTAGAATCTTGGTGTTGGACCGATGAATGGAGATTTTCTGTCATGGTAAGGTCACAAAGTGTAAATTCACTCAAGCTACCAAAGTCAAGTGCGCATCATCATCACCGTCAGCAGCAGCATAGACATCATCGACAGCACATCAAATTTCAACACTGGTGCCTTGCTACCACAAGTGCTTACTCATGTTACAGCGATTTTATTCTGAAGAAAGGAGCTTCGGCTGCGATAGTGCTCCATCAAGCTAGAATAGTTTCCAATTTATCACTCACTGGACTTTACTATGTTGGTATATATACAGCGTACACAAAGGTATCAGTAAGTTTATCAACACTTGGAGCAGTCCCTCAAACCCAGCAGCCTACATGATAATTTCAAACAGATCGCACGTTCTTAGACTTCAATCTGTTTGCATTAGTCAGAAGTTTAAGGTAAACATGATCGCAGAAAACCAGCATGATAGCATCGGTGAATAATGGCCAGTTATGTACGATGTTTGAGTTATGTTCTGTGATATAGCAAGTAGGTGTCTAAAACAGTAACTGCTGTGTACATAATCCAGATTATATCCAGTATATCAATCAAAAATTCAGTAAATGCAAGCAGTCTGCTGTCTTTACTTGCAAGAATATTTTGGACGGCTATTCTCATTCACACAGATTATGTCTTTGCGTGATACTTTGCAGTTTACCGGGGTGGTTCTCCGTTCGACAAGTGGCAATTCATAAAACTCTACTTACAATGTGGAAGTCCCCAGAACATCCTGCGTTCTACCTTGTGTATCAGAGCAATAGCAGTTAGGCTGGTAAATTTCATCAGAGACAATTAGTCATACATGGGGTTTCAGCCTGCAACCGGAGTGTGTGAGGCTCGATGGGGACTTGATGACCTCGATTGGCTATGCTAATCTGTCAGGGCTTGGCGTACATTTAGTCAACTTCAAAAGTTGATCACAAGAATATTAGTCAGCCAACTCTTTTATGTCATATTTTTCGAAGCTGTTGAAAGATTTGTGTGAAAACTCATCGGATGTCTCACCACACGAGTTCATGGGTCCGAATCAGCCAACTAGAATTTTCACCAGAACAAATTCACGCAAAACAAGAACGACAACAAAATTACGGAAGCATTATTATGCACAGTCAAAACCACAGAATACTGGCTTTTGCTGAAGTGTCAACGATCAAGTCGAAGTAAGCAATGGCAGATGGACAACAACTGCTGACTCGAAGTATCTGTATACTGTTATCATTATCATCATCACCATCATCATCATCATCATCATCATCATCATCATCATCATCATCATCATCATCGACAGCATGACATCTGGGTTCAGCACCGGTGGTTCGCTGCAGTGCTATTTTCCTAAATGTACTTTAAATAGTTGTCTGATGAAAGCACTAAAACGTCTAAAATCTTTCTGTATTTTCTCGATATCCTTTCCTAACGAATCTGGACATGCTGCTTCCACTAGTTTATTACATAAGGCGCGGTAGAAATTTGACACTAGATATGGGTGAAAAACTGTTTTTTAACGCTAATTCTCGTAAATTTTGTCTTGAAAGTGCAACGCTGTTTCAGCCATATGCAACTTCAAGTCATTTTTAACTGCAGGCTAACCAATTTACATGTTTATTCATTGTATTGTTAAGGAACTAGGATTGCATACAAACCTTACTCAGAACAGTTAGTACAGCTCCAGCCGATCAGCGGCGCCAGGCCCTGTCAACGTTGCTCAGTCAGTGGGGTTTCGGCACAAATTGATTGTTTTATTTAGAGGACAAAATGTGTTAGTCTACCCCCACCTTCGATTCATTTATGATGAAAACGTTTTCACTGGCAAGCCAACACCAAACTATCAATCTTTTATCTAACGCAGGTGTACGCATTGCATCGATATGTGGCCGGAGTACGAACTGGCCGCAGAAGAATTGGTCAAACATAGTCCCCCGATACCACTGGCTAAAGTGAATGGGATGACAGAGGAAAGTTTGGTGAAAGATTTCAATGTCAACTCTTATCCCTCCATATTCATCATGTCCAGGGAAATTGTCCATACATACAAAGGTCTATATCGTGCCAAAGGTAAGTTTATTATTTAACACCCAGCAAACATGGT